ACCCATGTTGTTAACAACCTAGCGGAGGCAGCATAGCCACTGTGTTTCACAAAATCGAAATGCTACTTATGTTTCATTGCGAATGCATGATATCGTCCAAATGGGCCAAGAGCAAAATATATATATATATATATATATATATATATATATATATATATATATATATATATATATATATATATATATATATATATATATATACTAGGGAAGTCTTAAGTTCGTCCTAAGGACGGCCCAACATCGTCATGCATTATATAGGAGGGCAACGTTTAAATGAAGACATTTTTATTGATAGTGCTTAAATATATATAAAAGAGTAACATTCAAATATAAGTATGTATATACAAATTCCATTGAAGGAAATCTAAGCAAAGACAGATAAGATTTTGTGCAACCATTACATAACCATGAGAAACAAAGGTATACTCAATAATGAGTTGTATGTACTTAATAATTAAAATGGAACCAAAAAATCTAGAGTCCATACCATATTGAATCAAAAAATCAAATCAAAAACTAATTCTATACATTTAATTATTCATCATTTTAATTTCATATTGAAACATAATTGTGCTAGTTCATTGGTACTCCCAAGATATATATATATATATATATATATATATATATATATATATATATATATATATATATATATATATATATATATATATATATATATATATATATATATATATATATATATATATATATATATATATAAGGCAAATTTCAATGACCAGGTAGTCTCCAGACAATCCGTTGAGGAAATCTACATCTCATGAGTTGAAACAAACCTCAAGAATCTTATCAACTTCCTAAAATGTTATGAAGTTGTTTAATCAGAAATTGTTTTTGCTCTCATAGGATATTACAGTTCGGGAATCTCCAACATTACTTTAAATGCCTCAGAGGTTATAACTATAATAATCTGTAACATTAAAATATATAATGATATTAATAGGTCAGAACATCACATTGCTAATAATGCAGGCTCCGGTGAAGATATAGAACAACATTCTTGACATGATCAAGAGCACTATCTTATATTTTGCAACAATACAATGAGATCAAAACATCATCACAAGCAAGAGTTTAGTGTTGGATGCATCTTTAAACCAACTTTCAGAAACATCATATCCCTATTTAGTTCCTTTAAATAAAAAGGAAACAATACCCAACACAAAATTAATGATAGATATGAAAAGCAAGTTACCTTTAAATATGAAGATGTATAGAGATAAGATGACATCGGTTCACCCTAAACAAGATAGAGTATTATAGGGTCTAACACTTTGCCTAAAACATAAACAGTCATCAATAAAACATTTGCAATCCTTAGAATTAGTTTCAATTTACTAATAAAAACAATGCCCCATTGGGACATTTCAAATTAATAGTTAAGACTAAGTGTTGTGCATAGCAATGTTAGAAATATGATATCAAACAACACTTTCATATGAATTAGAGGGCATAAAAGTTAATTCTAGAAGTTGAATTACCATATATCCATAATTGAGAAGCTGTACTAAAAAGCAAATCTTGTTTTAAAGATTTCAACCCAGCAGACACCACAATGTTTTGCATTTCCCTTCCTAGTTGTCCCAATTTGCTGTCAATAATTGCAGATTGAAACTTCAGCTTTCAATTGTCATCTCGGATCATAAAATAAGATTCACCAACACACACATTCAAGCTCTATGGATATGTATAAAGAAATGAGTATCGTAATCTGAAACATACTCGGTGATAAATTATATAAAATAAAAAACTATTTCCACTTCCAACCTGTAATAGTTGTAATTTTCCTCTTCTTTCTTGGACTAATCTTTTCCTCTCTATAAAAAAGACATGAGATCTAGTTCATTTTGATGACACGTCAACTAAACTCCATCCCACATAGAAAGGATCAAGCATAAGGCAACAAGGACAGATATAAAAACAAGATTTCCACATTCATATGGATTTCAAGGCGGCTCCATTTTGATGTGGCACCCAATTTATTGATCGTAGCTTTTCTCTTTCCTTTTTATTGAACACATAATCTACCCCCACTAAATAAACTTTATCTTTTATAATTCTAACAAATTGAAACAAACTGAAGTAAAATACAAAGATCCAACAGTTCCATTTCCTATTCCAAATAAATAATCCAAGAAAGTTATAACCCAAGCAAGTTAGGATTAAGACAAATGGGATCATGAAATTTTAATATAAAACATAAATGACAATAAGAACATCAAAATACACAATAAATTGAAATCAAATAAATTTATTATCAGCTAGCAACATGAAATTTAAATAAGTAGATGTCAATTACCAAGTTAAACCACATGGGTTCTTCCGGAGCCAACCGGTGGGTTGATGAATGTCAAATTCACGTCTACAAGAAAAATGGAAAAATTGAGACGCGTAGCGGACGCGATTGATACTTCTATGCACTTGTCGTTATCCATTATGGTTTAACTGTTTTGCCCTTTTAAGGTGACCTGGTAGCAGAGACGAGAAAGGGATGGAAAGCCCCCAACTATTTGAACTACACACAGAATTCAATGCCTCAATGGGAACTATCGGTAACCCTAAACAACGATCACCAAAAAATTGAAGAGGAAATAAGAAAATGGTCCTAGGATTATAAGAAACATAGACTGATGAATGAACAATAACATGTCTATAGAGAAGATAGGAGTGAATAGTCTAATACAGATGCTATAAACGTGGCGTGAAGATCTGAAATTAACGCATAGAATTGACGACTCATCATCTGTAGCCCATAGATTTTCATGTGTGTCATATCGTGTGACCATCATATTGCGGAAAATTATGTCTAGCAAGTCCTAAATATTACTACCCTGTCAAAATTGTAAGCCCAAATTATACTGGACGGAAAATGAGTATACTACTTACCGTTCTAATCATCATGAACCCTAAATTATACCATGTGCTTCACTACTAGAAAAAAGGCCTTTTACGATGCTCATTGCGCGTCGTAAAACGCTCAGACGACGCGCAAATGCATGTCAAGGAAGGTCCTGTCATAAAGAGAGACGACGCGCATTTACGACGCACGGTTATGACACGCAATGCGTATCAAGGAAGGCCCTGTCATAAAGGAAGACGACACGCATTTGCGTGTCGTAACCTTACGACGCGCGTGTTTATGATACACAATGCGTATCAAGGAAGCCCCTGTCAAGAAAGGCCATGTCATAAATAAAGATGACACACATTTTTGCGTATCATAATTTTAAATGTTTAAAAAAAATATTATTTATAGATTTACTAATTTTTCATATTAAATAATACATTAGAAATCTCATAATAATAAATAAAATACCATAAATAACAAAGATAATTCATTTCACTAATATGTCAAATACAAATAATTATTCCAATAGTGAGTAAATGTTATAAAAAAATGAGCTCATTTATATACAATTGCATTATCTAGCTTACTATGTGCCAACAACTTCTATCTTTTTCCTTCTCTGCATAAACTTCATTAGCAGCATCCTAAAGAACTTCTATCTTTTTCATCAGCAACATCCTCAAAAACTTCTATCTTTTTCCTTCTCTGCATAAACTTCTATCTCACACTCAATGTAGTTTTAAACATCAGGTTTAAAAAATCAAGTTTGTGAATCTCTTTTGCAGCACATCAGATGTGCTTTTTCCTTGAAATTATGCTGCTACTTGAGATAATATAGAAAGGAAATGTGATTTGGATAAGAGAGAGAGAGAGAGAGAGAGAGAGAGAGAGAGAGAGATAGATAGATAGATAGATAGAGAGAGAAACAAGATATGAATAAAATAGTTACTTACACAGAAATGTTAACCAGCATTATAATTTATACGAATGCAATTCTCTTGAAACAGGGGTCTGCATCCAAACTCACAGTAGCACGTCGAACCCTATCCTGTGACATTATAGAAATATGATAAATTTCAGTAAAATGAGCAAATTATAACAAGTTATACGAGGGCATATACCTAGAAACTTGTCGACGTTGAACTCCTTGGTCAATCCAGAAAGAACCCCCGAAAGATCCCTTTATCACTTGAGGCATTTAATAATAGAAGTTGTAATTGTACACATTGAAAGATGAAGGACATGTTTGTAATTACTGAGACTTAATTAATTTGAATCTCTTTCCTCTTATAAATAAAATATCTATAACGAGTCTAATTGCACCTGATGAAAAGCCAAGGGAAAAAGAGTCTTTAAAGCAAAGAATTCATGAGAGGTCCTAAGTAGCAGGGGCAAAAGGTTATTTAATCCAATTACTTCATGCCATCTTTATGGAACCCACTCATGCAGCTTCGAATTCAGATGAGGTGCTAACTAAACTATGTTCGGTAACCCACTCATGCACATCAACCTGAAAACAGTATTGAAAAAAATCTGTTAAGCTAAAAATAACAGGGAATTAATGAATAATAGCAACACAGTTTTCCTTTTTTACCAATGTGAGTATGCAGACTTCAGTTTTTACCAATATGGTTAGAATCAATATGCATTAGCCATATTGGAGCACAATGATTGATGGAGCACAACTGATTTGTATGTCTTGATTATGATTGAACTGAGAAAACAGGAAAACTTAATGTGAAAAAAAAAACTTTTAGTCTACATTACAAATTGAAATGAACTTCATCAAAAGTGTGCATTAAGGAGAAAAGAAAAGTATACCTGTAATTATAGTTTTTCACTTGTCAAATATTGTCTAGTTTAACAGCCTTGAATCCAACCTCATCACTTGTCAAATACAACCATTGCCTTTAAATTTTAAAATAAACATCATAACATAGTTACATTGCATGTCTTTCTTTGTATAATAATGTATTAGACTCAAATTTTAATTTAATTTACTCTAGACCTGATTCCCATACACTCTGGAAAGCTGTTATAAGCTGCTCTTTCCTGTTTTTACCTGAAAAAGAAAAACAAAAGTACATGAATTATAGTAATCATTGTATATGAAATGAAATATAAAGAATGAACGTCAGTTGCCTACTCCTGTTTTTAGATAATCTTCTGCAATATAAACAACATCACTCCCGATAGATATCTTATCCGCACCAGATCTGAAATATTCTGAAGCCACCTCCATACTAGAATAGTACCTATATTATTAATATTTTAAACGCTTATTAAATTCTTCACAACAACATATTACATATTACATATTTACAATTAACACTTAACAGTACCTTCCATTTGCATCAGTGAAATCTTTGATACCACCACCAACTGTAAGTGGTACAAAAACATTCTCTGATGTGTATTCAAAAAGCTAACCTGCAACATGTTACAACTCAGTAATAGAATGACTCATTCCATTCCATTCTATCCTAATACCTAATATGTAATATGTAATATGTAATATGTAAGAATGAAAAGATAGTAATTAAGTACCTCATCACCCCATCTAAGTAATACTGTCCAGCAAGTTCAACTGGCTTCCCTAGGTTCCTCACCTATCACACCATTTATTTATTCAACAAAAACTTCTTAAAAAAATCCAGATTGCTATTGTGGTGCTGCTGTGGGACTACAATCGATGTATATGAAAACTTTTCCTTTGTCGGGGGCTGAACAACTTAGTCATCTTAATTCAGACTGCTATCAACAAAGTTCAAACATAACAAAAGCTGATTCCAACCTATATAATTAATATCTAATGGAATAAAAGAATCACCCCAACTTAAAAAAAGGAAGGCTTCTGATTGGATTTGGGTTCTCACTGTGACATCATCAGTACATCCTTCCTCTTCCTCCAGTTGTGTTGCTCTAACAATCAGAACCAACATCAAGTTTAGGCAGCTTGTGCAGCCACTGCTTCCTACATCATAAATAAAAAAATAAACACTTTAATAGAAAAACAAAGCATATGTAACAAGAAGAACAAGGAAGAAATGAATCACATTTTAATGACAAACACACTTCGCATTCAATAAGAAAAAAAACAGGCATCCTTGGAGAAGGTATGTCTAGCCTAGTAGAGTGCATGATGCTTTTCCAGGAATGGTGATTAACTGAAAGGCCATTGGAAAGCAGATCAAACTGAATCCAGGCTATGGAAAAGTCATAATTACACAAGTAAATCACACATTTGGTCCCAGTCCTTTACCAAACTTGTGATTTTGCCACCAAATTTGTAATTCGCTCTAAAAAAAAGTATTGTCAACTCTGTTTTGCACAACAACCAAACACTCTCTGAGTAAGTTTTAAGATCTAATACGTGCATGTGTGAAATACAATAGAGACAGCCTAAGACATCTTGATAGATAAGTGTAATACATTTGCTACGATAATTATTTAATAGAATTTTCAAATTCTGACTTGAAATAATTGTGTTTCACAGAAATCTAGATGCTATAACCGGTTCAACATATATTTACCTTCTTTTGTGGAGTTCGACATGCATAATATTTTGGAGAAAGATGTAGCTGGAAGGACTACACACTAATGCAACCTGAATGAGAAATTGATAGCCATGAGCATTATGAATGTCTTGTTATGTGACAAGTGATTTACATCTCTCTTCGATTCAAGATTCATCTCAATTTTACTCAAATACCCCCACCACTCCATCTTGTTAGTAATCTAACAAGAAATGATTGCAGATAGTTAACTTTTAACAGGTTTCTGTTAACAAGATTCTGTTAGGTTTCCGATTTCATCACAGGGGTTGGGCGTTCTATGTCAGCAGTACCACTCATGGTTTCACTGTCCATGCTGGCAGTCCAACTCCTCATATTCCTTCGTTCATGTTTTCAAAAGTCAACCATGTTGAAAATCGATCAAAATAACATATTAACAGAGGGTAGTTTTTTCTTTTCAGCAGTTACTGTTTCAAGTACATAAGGCCTTTGTACCTTAACAGCAATCAAATCCCCAAACTGTATCCTGAACTACCAGAACTGCCCGAACTCTCACAGTTCCAAGAAATGGTGCCCAAACTGTATCCTGAAACACATAACATGGTGGATGAGAAGCTTCAGTTAGAAATTGGTTGTTTTTCACCTGATGTAGATGTAGAATGGGAGAATAATTTGCTGACCGGAATGGAGAAATATCTGACCACATATGACCTGTCATGGGAGCAGTATATTGAGGGGAGCCTAGAGGTTGACAAGAACAATGCCATTGAAGTAGGAGGTCTGAAATATAACCTGAGATCAGCTAAGTTATATATATATTTTTTAATTATGTAACAAGCCAACAAATTTGATATTGAAATGAAGCTTAAGTTCATGACTAATTTACCTTTCAAAGTTATATAAATGTGAGTGAATTTGATATTAATGTCTCGAACTTGATATTACTGTCTCCAATCTATCTAGAAATTTACCTAACTATCTCCACCTGGCACCAGACCCTGAAAAATAACAGTTCAGGGTACCAACCTCTGTCATTTATTTTGCAGTTTGTATATCCCTAAAGATGCAGCAAGCAATCCGTGTACTATCACATTTGTTGCAACCAATTTTATAATTTAAAAAAATCAGACTCAAAACAAGAAATAATTATATATTTTGAATTTTATAATAATTACCTGCATATCTTCTAATTGGTGAGGTGAAATGTGTATAAACTAATAAAGAGGTGCAACAAGCCCATAATGGTGAAACTTCGAGGGGCTAAGATCCCCACTACAGAAGTAAACAACCTTAAGTGGAAATTAGTTTATTTTGTTCTCTTTATTTAAAAAAATAAGATTAAGCCAATTATGATTTAAGAATAGTAGAATACCAACCTGTGTCATACATCTAGTTGCTAGGATACAGATCAATTTATTGAAGTATGGATCATCACCCTGCTTTTTATTTTTTATTTTTTTATAAGATAAAATTTAATAAAAAATTAGTTAGAGACTTTTATAATGATCAGTGAATAAAATTGGAAAGTCAAACTAACCACAGCCCAGTCAAGTGAGTCAGCAAGTGATTTGGATGATGACACATCAAGGTCAAGCCAACAAAAGCAAAAATGTGTAATAAAGGTTCAAGCATTTCTTTTGTTGGACTAGGATGTCGCTTGTAAACAATATTTATTTACTTAATCAAAATATAATATATCCATCAATGTGATTAGCTTAAATAGTTAGCAACTCTACAGTAACTGATCACAGTTGTGACCGTATTGTTGGATTCTCATATTGAGATAGTAAAGGGAATCAAATCAGTTTAGAAATTGTAAGTAAATGAGATTCAATTCCTATTACATAAATTAAATTCCAACTCCTAAACACTAAATTGATTTTTTTATCATTATCAAAACACAATTGGCTGATTACTACTCATGTGTATGTATAATATTAGTAAATTGAATCTAATAGGAATACATAAATTTTTATTTACTTGTGAGGTTGTCACTGTGGCAGGTTGCTTTGAACCTTGTTCATTAATCTTTGGACAATCCCCTTTTGGTTCAAACATTTAGTCAAACACCTAGTGTGCATAAAAAAATCAGGTACGTATATCATAAAATATTAACAATTCCATGAAAATATATGAGAGAGGGTAAAAAGGCACAAAAAATCATCCAAAAAGAAGGACCAGTGGGACATGAAACAGGTAACTATGGTTGAAAAAGGAAGAATTACCTTTGAAATAGGCCTACTACGCAGATGAAATAGGCAACAGTGGTGGTATAGTGGTGGTTCTGGGCTGTTGCGAAGGCAGTGTGGTGGTGGCTCAGGGCTGGTGTTGTGGTGCGATGTTGTAACGGTGGAGTCTGAAAGAAAACACAAATTGTGATGGAAGCTATTGTTGTTGGTGATGTCCGATTCATCAAAAGAAAATCATTCTTCGATCAATCTTCTATTTTGTGAAAGAAGATATTACTATTTCAAATGTGTTATGTTTGATTAGGGTTTGCACATAGAACGAAGTGAAAGTCGATCGGAGAGGAAGGGGTTTGCAGAGAGAAAGAAGGGAGAGAATGAAGTCGATTTTGGCGGGTGTAGAGAGTAGAGAGGAAGAGGAAGCGGGTGTTCAAAATTTTGGGGGATTTAGTTTCCCCCCTTACCTATCAAGGAGTCCCAGAAACGCGCGTTTATTAAAATTATAAAGCGACATTTGTAGAGGACGCCCTTTTTATTATAGGTGCCCTCCGTGTTTTTAATATTTTTACATGAGACACTAATTTAAGGGCACTCAGTAATGCGCGACCTAAATCCTTAAAATTTTTGAAGAGATGACACTTTTTTAATGTCGCTCTCTAATGCGTAACATAAATCAAAGAGCGTCGTGTTTTGCGCGTCGTAAAAGGGTCTTTTTCTTGTAGTGCTTGTATTGTTGTATATCTCCTAGAAACATATTTTTTGTTTCAAATAGGTAAGATGAACTTATAAAAAGAATTCTAAAATTCGGGTTATAATCATCAATGTTGAGCAGTACAACATCGTAGGCTAGAACATAAATTATGTTGCACCAATCAAACGTTTGTATGTCTAAGAAGTTAAATAAAGAATCTTGATGCACATTAGAAAATATGTTTCCTGGTAAGCTTCTTGAAGAAGATAAAAGGCGATGACATCATCTTTTTCTCATGGTGACATCTATGGCGGTGGGTGGTTGAAGGAGACACCGTCATCTTTGTATCATAGACCCAAACTCAAAGACATTATTTTTAAACCCTAAATACCCTTCAGCAATTAAGAGAGAGAGAGAGAGAGAGAGAGAGAGAGAGAGAGCGTACAAGAAGTTGGAGAAGTGAAATCGAAACTTAAACCAGAAACATATATAAAAGTCGTGGAATCAAGACAAAGAGGGGTTTATTCAATCAGTATGCAAACCGTGATTTGTACTGGTGTCTGGGGTTAATATGATGGAGATGGTGAAGTCACCGTTAAGAAGGAGACAAGAGAAAAAGAAGAGGAAATGGTGGTATGTGGGAGACGTAGTGGGAAAAACGAGAAAGTGAAAGCCAGAAGAGAAGAAGGATGTCCAACTCTGTGGAACGAAGAATAGTGGGATACATGTGTCCTAAGGCAAGATGAAAGCAGTGGCAAGCCTAGTTATGACTCTTGAACCCTATACAAAGCTATGGAAGCAGCTTAATCATGAAGAATAAGACTATAGAAAAGGTAATAAAAACTCATATTTGCAATCTGTATAAAATTCATTATTATTTATTATATATTGAGTTAGTGCATGATATGGAAAACTAAATGTTATCTTATGTTTTTTTAAAATCAACCAAAAATCCTCATAAAATTCATTATTATTTATTATATATTGAGTTAGTGCATGATATGGAAAACTAAATATTATCTTATGTTTTTTTTAAATCAACCAAAAATCCTCATAAATCAACGAAAAATCATCCTCACTCCACTTTCCTTAGATTCTAAGGGAAGAGGCGTTTTTATATTATAATGATATATATATATATATATATATATATATATATATATATATATATATATATATATATAGAGAGAGAGAGAGAGAGAGAGAGAGAGTCAAGATCAAATAAGAAGGAAATTCTTGGTAGGAAGGTAAGAAATTTTTTTATATGCATATTTTTTTAGCAAAAAATGAAATGAATCATTACATGATTCAAAAGTAAGATGATTCACAAAAAAAAAATTCCGAAAAAAACACCTTCATAATTCATTTTTAGGTAAATTAAGAAAAAATTCACTTTTATGATAATTTTAGTGAATATCAACAAAATCATCATAAAAATGAATCATCAAAATGTTTTTTCGGGTTTTTTTTGTTGAATCATGTTATTATTGATTCATTTAGTGATTCATTTGTTTTTTTCGCCAAAAAAATAAGTCGAAGAAAATTTTCTTACCTTCCTACGATTTCTTACCGGATCGATATATATATATATATATATATATATATATATATATATATATATATATATATATATATATATATATATATATATATAGTCAATTCAAAGATAAATATAATAAAGATTCAAAAAAATATAATTTAGTTTTCACTATAGACATGTTTAATTTGCAATAAACAAACCAAATTGTTTGTTTTTTGAGAAAATTTAAATTTGAAGTAACCTTAGCCCTAATATATATATATATATATATATATATATATATATATATATATATATATATATATATATATATATATATATATATATATATATATATATATGGGAAACGTGAATATACATTGCAGCCCCACCTAAACTTAGGTACTAAACCTCATGAAAATACATTGTTTTACTATATAAAGATTGTGGTTAAGGGATTCACAATTAACACTTGATGATGTAGATTCAAGATAGACAAAATAGTTTTGATAAGGAAGAAAGAATATTGATTATCTTCGACCTTATTAATAGTGGAAAAAAGTAATGTTTACTGGAGTGAAGTAATTAACAATAATTGAGGAAAGAAAACAAGCATGGTAAAATGATAATGGAGGAAGAAAATGTTATCAAGGAGGTATATTTACCAAGTGAAAACCAAATCGGGTATATTTGCTAAGTTAAAACGACATATTTTAGTGGTTTTGTACCTAAGCTTAGGTGGGGCTGTAATGTATATTCCCTATCCCATATATATATATATATATATATATATATATATATATATATATATATATATATATATATATTCCAAAAATTTAGGCCCCCTGGAGATGTGGGTCTTGGGCGGTCGCTAGGGCTGCCCACCGTCTGGACCGACCCTACATGACATCTCACTGTAAATTTTATCTACAGCATGTGCGTATATGTGTAACTCAACGACCTTCGCTATTTATTTATT